AATTATCAGGGTATAATTGGGAAATATGTCATCGTGGGAAGTCTATACAACAGTATTAAGAGACAGTGTGTGCCTTATCCGGTTAATCTAATATTAAGTTGTATGAATCCAAGAAATAGTAGCCACCACACATTACACACATTAAATTTGCTTGAACATCTTAGTTTTAATTCATGTTGTATTGCAAGTTGAGGCCTTTACAAAGCGAACGAATTAACTAAAGACAACATCACGTTTTATTCGATTTAAAGTTAACTGTACAGTTTACATGTATAATAGCGAGTTGTCAAGGTAAAAAGCGATTTCATACGAGTGATGATCTCCTTCTTCTTCTTCCACCCTCTCTTGGGCATTAACGTACATTATCTAAATAGTAAGTAGACTAGTTGATTTGTTAGCGGAAAGTAATTTAGGCGATGAAAAACAAAATTCGTTGAAGAAGTTTTAAGGTCTTATTTCATAATTGAGCTAATTATGTTACATTACCGAATTATACTTTTTCAGCCTGTAAGGCCGTTGACAACGGAATCTAAGTTGAAAACATCACTAATATTATTGTGTATACAAAATGAACATTTCCTGTTTTCATAATGATTTTTTATATATTTTACCATAATCCAGTTTCGAACGAGATACGATTTTATGGAATATATTTCAACATAGATTATGGATTATACATATATTTTTATTCTTGTTGTAGCATGTGATCATTTGAGTATTCAGCTCTTTGCAGCATCTGATAATACCAATGAATCTGTCTGTGAACATTTTATTTAAAAAATGTGTCCATAATTTAAGTCACTTTTTCATCAAGACAGCTATATGTGATTTTATTGATGATGATGATGATAAGTAGATCTATTTTGATGGTGATGATGATGATGATGATAATATTTATGATGGTAGTGATGAGCAGAAATATAATGATTGTGATGATGATGATGATTAAGTTGATGATGGTAATCTTAAGCAGAAGTATTTGATAGACATGATGATGATGATTAAATTGATGATGGTTATGATAAGCAGAACTATGTCGATTGCATTATAATGTTGATTTTGATGATGGTGGTAATCATGAGCATAAGTATTGTGATAGTGATGATTAATAGTATCCCTTTCCCAGAACTTAACTATCTCGTTCCCACGACTTAGTAACTCTTGGCCACGACATAGTATTTCGTTCCCATGACTTAATTATCTCGTTCACACGACTTCGTAACATAGTATGTCGTTCCCAAGACTTAACTATCTCGTGCCCACGACTTTGTAATTCGTGGCCAGGACATAGTATCTCGTGCGCACATGATAAATAAAATCACACACATAAAATCACACACATGTCACCTTTGTGCCACCGTAGACATGCATTAATGATACTGGTACTGAATTTTTATCTTTTTATGATTGTACCGCATTTTTATGATTGTACTGCACATTTATTTTGCTGGTACTGTAACTGAATTACTCGAATAAAAACACTACTGCTACTTGTACTGGTACTGAATTTTGTTTCAAAAATGGTACTGGTACTGCATAAATAACCCACAACTTTGGTTTTCATGTAAATTCCTATCACATATATATAATATATTTATTTTTATACTTTTATTTCAAGAAAACTATGATGTGGAAATTTATATTAGACAGCCTGTATGCAAAATATTGTGAAATGTAAAAGTACTGGTACTTAATTTCTTCCAAAATAAAAGTACTGGTACTTGTATTTAAGTAGTTTACCCCTAGTACTTATGCATTTCCGATTGTGTAAAATATGGAAGTTTAGGTACTTACATAAAGTGATTGTCCCTTATATCATTGTAAATTGTTTGCTATAATAATACCGAGTGTATAGACAAGGCAGGGGTCTGATTAACGTGATTCTGCAATGTCCAGGGTACCATCGACAGCACAGCGTCAGGTCCTATGCACCTTTACCATCTGGTCCTATGGTTTGGTCTTCGTCATTCAGTAAGTTGAGTTGTTGTATAATGTCATCAAGTCTTACTCCGAGTATCTGGAATTTAAGCAAGATTAAAAAGTATAATGGGCCCATCTGGCGATACAAAAATGAGACAAACTGAAGTTCTGAATGAAGGGACAAACTTTTCTTCAGAGTCACGTGTGGCCACACTACACCGTATACACTCATTATATAGATCTTATGTAATTACAAAAAGAGATCCATTGTAAAACATAAATTAAATTGACATTATGCCCATCAAAGTATAAATGTGGGTGAAAATGTCAAAGTCAAAACAACTTGAGATTTTTCCATAATAAGTTTCAATTTTTATAATATAGATAATAGTCAATTTGAATAATCAATAACCCACATAAATCACAATAAATTCAATAGATATCCTTCGGAAGACTTTCCATTGATAAAAAGAGTGGTTCAAGCCTTTTTTATTTCATGCAATTTATTATATTTTATCCTTGATTTATTTCATAATCAATTATTTTTCAATGGCCATAATGATACTCAACCTTTTAAAAGGAAAGATCTTTATAATAACGGTAAAAAATCATATCACCTAGTCCTAATTATAAGACCTATACGTAACCTTTTTCATATTTATTCTTCATTAATGTGATATTTTACATTTTTCATTTTCCATGTTACGCGCCTTCATAATATAAAATATAAAATAGCACAATGCTGAAAATAAAATGTTAAATAACTTTTTTTCATTTTTACTAGATGTCACCTGAATAGGTAACACGTGGTACAAGTTAATTCTAATTTATTCTTTGTGTATTGAGTCTTGATTTATTTTATTAAAAATATGTATATAATTAATAATTTGTCTATTTATGTATGTCTAATGTATGTTTTAATTATATGTGTATGTTAACATTATTGTTCATTTTTATTATTACCTTTTGCGCAAGAAGTACCTGGTCTTACAGTGCTGTCGTTGTTGCTAGTGTCAGATCCTCGGTCACTGTACCTGGTATCTGTCTGCGCAGCTTCTCACAAGTGGCACATACATAATCCTTTTGACTAGCTGCACGTATATGTGGTAAACATGTACGCAAGGTGTCTTTGAATGACGTAATCTCTAAAGTGCATACAGGGGGGTCTAAACAAGACTAAATGGTGAATATTATTTGGTTGTTGCAACCGCCAGATACACTCGTGCAATGGTTGGATGTCATCTGGTCAGCATGGGGCTTCAGATTGAGGAAAACCACAACCACAACCTTTTATAATAAACTGTCTTATTATCTGTGTATCATCAGACGTTTCACAACTTTCCTCCTCACTTCTTCAACTATCTGTTACATCAAGATAAGGCTGACTTTTCGCTACTCCAGCGTTGAAATCTCGTGCTCTCGCAGATACAAGTTCAGTTTCGTCAGTACATTCTTCCTTGTCTGAATAATCTGAGGCAGAATCGTGTGTGTTATGTATCGGAAACTTTGAGTTTTGAGAGTTGATAGGCGTGTTCAGTTGCATCACTAAGAACACTTTGCTTATTAAAACAGATAAAAAATATTCCGTTCTCTTTCCCTCATTACAATGTGTATTGGTGAGCTGTCTGATAAAGCTGGGGTGACTGATAAAGCTAAATTTGTAAGATATGCATTTTTTTAACGGAAATAAATGTAATGATAAAATAAATAGTCTTTATTGTTGTGAAGGAACGAAATTCTATCCTGTCCACGAAAGACGGTTACCTTGGCATTGAATAAAGGATGTAAAAAATAAATTTTCATCAACGAGTGCCACTGTGATAAAAAAGCTGAATTTATCATACTAAGGCATGGCTACCCGTTCTTTACTTAGTATATGTATGGTAATACGTATAAGCATCTCTTTACAAAGGAATCACTTGTCACATTGAGGCGTAACACTTTTCACAGCATATAAATGGACGTGTTCCTAAAGGCGCATGTTCATTGGTTCTCCGATTTATTCTATATTTAAAGTTTTCCCTGCAGCGATCTAACAGATATGTCACCTTGATTTTATCCAGTCTGAATTAGAATAAAACTCATTTTACTGCAAAGGGTATCAAGACCTGGATCTTGAGTTTTTTCCAGTATCGTTCATGAACAGGCTCAGTCATACAGAGCTTGCAACATTTTCAATTTTGCCGTATTGGGCGTTATTTAGGGATTCTGCTTTTCTCTTTATCTTTTAGTCCATCATAAATTTAGTATTGCTTCACGACACTAATAGATTTATCACAATCATTACCATGAAAGATCAATGATTAAAGAGCATATAAATTTCTTTACAAATGCAATTTTCAAAATCACTTATACAGTAGCGCAGAGAGCAAAAATCATTCGTGCATGCGTTTTTGAATATACATGTGCATGTACATCCTAAAGTAATCAAAAATGTTTTTCATCGTTAACATAATTATAGAAAGTGAACGGAAGACATTTTGCTTCGCATGCATGTTCAACCAATTCTGAAATCTGCTTAAAACTGTAGTCCAATTTTTCGAATTGCAACTTGTGCCAGAATTGACAATTTTTAAGAAAAATGTAAGATATACGCCGTTAATTAGAAAAATATAAACATATTTAGGTAGGATTTTGACTTCCGTTTTCCCGGTTGATGTAAACCTGACTTTTTAATCATGGCGACGATCAGAAAATGCAAGAAAACGAAACAGCTTCCAATGGAAGTCTGCTCTTATACAATCAACTTCCAAAGTTATACAAAACCTTTTGATAAAACGGCTCATAAACTAAAGAAGATTCAATTTTCTGTAACAAGCTTATATTCCCTCCCCTCGTAGACTGGTGCATATCCTAAAGAAATTGGTACAGAAACAGAAAAGTTACGGTGATTTCTATCTCGAAATCGAGCAATATTTGTGCCAAAAAATGACGTCAAGGCCACGTGGTATTGCTACGCTGATTAAGACCGCGTTGTGCGTCATTTAAACTTATTTCATGCTAAGTATTTTCTTTATTAAAAACAAGAGCAATGTTTGCTTATTATACGCTTTAATAACAGACTCTATGTATTATTCCAGAGAGTGCTGCTTGTCGGACAGAGCACGGTATGTAAAAATGATTTCTAAATACGAACTTCTACTTATTTAAACAGTTATTAGCTCAACTTTAGACGGAAGTAGACTGATTTTAAAACTTTTTGACAGTGACAAAACATTCGTTTAATTATATATTTTATGATGTCTCTTCGTGTTGTTTTAATATGAATTAATATACTAGTTCATGAATACGTAAGAAATATTAAAAAATGACGAGTAAAATGCAATAGTAAATTAGAATATTCATAAGATCTAAACATTTCTTTTCTGCTTGCCGTTTAAGATCATGCAACAAAGACATTGAATTTACGTAGATTCATCATAATAACTGTTTTATAAGACAAATAGAATTAGTTCATCTCAATTCAAACAAACAAAAAAATGTCAGTTAATTTTTAAAACAAATCAGGTGCTTGTACCAAACATGTATATGAAAACATACGCCTGACTGCCCTTCGAAGCTCCGGCTGCCAAAAGTTTTGCCAGTGCGTACATGCATCTACAGAATTAGACGGAAGTGTCACTTATATGTGGGTAGAACAGCAGTGCCCCCCGACAACACTTTTTGATGACAGCCTTCCAGCTCCGGTGTGTAATCATGCAGCGAATGTACAATGCACTGGTATTTCAACTATTTGTATCATATCTTTTAATTGATTCTTCAGGAAATTTGAAAAAGTGTAGAATAAAAACGGTATTATGCATTAAACAGTGGGGTAAATAACCTCTGCATGAAATATATTATCAGTTCTCACTTCTCTTATTTGTATTTTACGTTCCTACAAATCAGCATTCCTAACTTCCTAATTTATATTTAATAGATTGAATAATGCTTATATCAGTATAACTTTTGAACTTGCGAAAAAGGGACCAATAAATTTGACATCAGATGAGGAAAAGACTAGTCTATATATTAAACAAAATTTGCTCCTATATTAAACAAAACCAAAATTTATACTAATGGATGTCTATATAACAAGATTTTTTTATACATTTTAGGGACTTACGACGAGGATTGTAGTTGTGAACATGGTAATGTGTAATAAACTTTTTCAAAATTAAATATTGTTAACTACAGAATTTATAATGAGTAAAAAACTTTTTCAAAGATAAATATTGTTAACTACCGAATTTATTTAGCGGTTAAATTCCGCCTATATGACTGAAATACTGTTGGCAGAAGGCGTAAAATGAAACAAACAAACAAAAAAGAAGTTAAATTAAGATGTATAATAAATCTGAAAAATGTATAACATAATCATTCCAAATAGTTGCCAATAACACTAATAGAGTTGATCTTTTTCATATATTACAATTATAGCACACTATATTTGCTTTCAGGGGCATGCACTCAGTTTATTTATGAAAATGTCCGCTTAGTTGCGCAGACAAGCACCGGCTGTAAGAAATTCTGTCAATGTGCGCATGCGTCGACACAGTTAGACGGATCTGTGACGTATCATTGGGTGGAGCATACATGCCCTGCCGGGACTTTATTCGACAGTAAATTACGGGTCTGCAACCATGCAGATAACGTGCAATGTACAGGTGATTACATATTAATACTTCAGTGTTACATCAAAAGAATGTAGAACGAAATTCTTAAGACTTCTAGAGGTACTTTTTAAGTAAAACATCATCAAATTTAAAGGTAACTCATTTCGTCCAGGTATCTCGTCCGCTATAATACAAAGAAGACTTAACTCAGATTTGATATTAGAAAATATTGATAATTGCTACAAAGTGTCTTTGTAAATATAAAAAACATATTTGCCATCACACAAAGTAGATATGTTATGTTGAAAACTTTACACACTAAAAGTGTTCACAATATTAATACATAGTGTCATCAAAAAACGGGCAGGTTTTCTAAGAAAGGACCTACTTTACTTGACCTGTTATTGGTAAAACAGCTTCCTGATTCTTTTATTCAAATTAGACATATTCAGTGTTCAACATTTTGTGAATTTTGTCAGTTATTACAAGCCTGTGCTTTATACTCGTCATTTGATTATATTCATGAATTGTGTGAACGAATGAAGGAATTACTGGGGTCAGGTTTAAATTAGTCTGGTGCCTAAAAGCTCTTTGTACATATGTCAAAGAAAACAATGACTTTGGTGTAATAGAATTTGAAAAATCTTCTTTACATTCGTACTTAATAAGAAATGTACTAAAATTTCGTTCACCTACATCTAGATCGACGCTTGTGTTGAAACAACTTAGTTCAACGTAATATATATTTTTGGTACTATAGATGTAGATGTTGTGCCTTGTGTAAATACGTTATGATCTTCCATGTAAAGTAAAGAAAAGTATCTATCTATATATACCTTACACATATGTAACAAATAAAATAATTTTGCAATAATAGGATCGGGTCAAGATAATTCAGGCTTGAACGGTTCGCCTACGTCACAGCCGTCTGGAGGACAGGTTCCAATTGTTTCAGGTAATATATTTTCATCATAATAAACAATCTTTTTTTTACCCGATGACATAATTTATAATATCATTCACTAGCTCAAGTTGAGTCGAATTATTTAACCCGTTCTGTTTAACATCATACAAGAAAAGAATCTGTTCTGTTCTGATAACTACCTCCACAGTAAAACATGCATCCTGTGCCTTGACAAAGAAATTTGATGGTATTTCAGCGAGGAAGAAATAGCTATAAAAAATTTAAATTTCAATAAACCAAATGCGTAAAAACGTTAATAGAAATTTTGTTTTTGATATCATGGAAGTATTTGAATACGAGTTTTTTATTATTATTTCAGTGCTCAATACGTCAATGTCGTTTATTTATTTATTTTAATTATTGCATGCATTTTTAAATGTAAGTTCTTCAAAATATGTGCTGATATTTATTCAATATTATAAGTGTTTATAAGTAGGACAAGTGTTTTAAAATGTTTTGTAAATATATTAGTAACATTATGTAGTAAACATCACTTTCCGTTTTTATATTTTCAGGCGACAATGAATGTTTTGAAGAATATGGTAATGTTACTTATATTTGTACGTCAGAATCTTTAAAACGAATATTTAAATTTATTAAGTTCTTAAACTGATACACTAATATTTTTGTTACAATATTGCGTATGGACTATAACAGAGTGTAGCCTTTAAAGAAAAGGCTTACAAATTTATGCTAGTTTTTATGACCATATTGAAGATGAATTTAAAGGTAAAGAATTGTGAAGTGAACAAAGAAAATAATTAACACATTGCATACGACACTTTCAATCCACGTTTATAACCAAATAGAGGTTGAAATACACAGGAGTCGAACGCACTTAATGCGTTAGTTGTGCAGTAGAAATGTGCTGATCGATACGGCAAAATCAGTCTTTAATCGCAAATAACATGTCAATTATAACTTAAAAGTTGAATCTTTTTTACTTCTCTTACTACAATTTTAAATATTCAAGTTTGATCTGTTTAAAATTTTTGCCCATCTGTAGGCATGCAGCTTAAAGTCATTTTGATAAATATACATATATAAGTCTGTTTTAAGTGTATTTTATTTTATCCAAGAGTTTTATCTCTAGATTTCTTTTCATAAATACTCGAAAAACAAAAGATTCTTTGAGAACCCCCAAAAACTTGATTGCATTGCTTTTTTTTATCGAAATCGCCATAAAACATATCTTAATTATTGATGCAGGTTTTTGTACCAAACACCAATATGAAATTGTAAGACTGGTTGCTCTCAAAAGTTCCGGATGTAAGAGCTTCTGCCATTGTGCATACGCATCAACAGAGATTGACGGCTCCGTGACGTACAAATGGGTAAAGAAAACATGTCCAGCTAATACCTTGTTTGATGAAATTATTTCAGTCTGTAACCATGACTACGATGTTCAATGCCAGAGTAAGATATTTCATCTTTCAATAAGAATATGTACATTATTTGTTAATCAATATAATTCAATGATTAAATCATTCTGAGGTATTTTCATTACTTATATCATTTCTTTATTTTTTTGCAAGTTTGAAAATCTGTCATTCTTGTAAGATTTGTTTTTTTTTGCAATCATCAAACTTTATACGATCATCTTTAACCTCCATTGGTATGAACCTCAATTGACCTCTATGTATATTTTTCTAAATAAATATACATTTTTGAGACTATTTTAGGCATGCAGTAAAATTTAATATCTTCTCGTGTTTATTGATTACCGGGCTCAAATAAATTATAAACCATATGATCATTTTCAAGTACAAAGATTGAACTTTTTAACTTAAGCTTTTATAATGTATGAAGATATAAAGCCTTTAACTTGTAATTATCTTATATACACTCATGTTAGTAAACATGTTTACTTTATATTTTTCAGAGGAGGAAAGTGAAGATTGTAAATCGGAACACGGTAAAAATATATATAAAATAAAGAATTTTATATGGCAATTTTCATTTGCATCGCATAAATCACATCAATACGTATAATGATCTATAGAATCCAAAATACCTATTGATCAAAAGCAATCAATATAATGAGTCTTTTTTCTGAAGCTTGGTTTATTAAAATACGAATGAGATCTGTTTAATCTTTTTTTTTAAATTTTGTCTTTATGACAAAAATAACATGTACATGCCAAATTTTCGTGGCACATACATGAATAGCTTATTTCCAATGTCCTTTTGAAGTGTTTGAATCAGCTTAATATAAATTGAATCAAATCTAACACGTAAGCTCACATTGAATCAAATCTTAAACGTAGACTTAAATTGAATCAAATCTTACACTTAGACTTAAATTGAATCAAATCTTACACGTAGGATCAAATTTAATCAAATCTTACACATAGACTTAAATTGAATCAAATCTTCACGTAGATTTGCTTCCTTTGCAGACGAAAACGATTAACTTAATAATTTAAATAAATGTAGATTTGTTACTGGCGTAGACCAATGGAATCAAAACCGTGTATCATTATTATTACCATAGTGTATGTTGTCTTTGACACGCAGTAATCCCTTCCTGGTTACATCACTTCAACGCATACACAAAACTGTAAATGAATTTCTATGTTAAAGCAAAAACGCACTAACTCTTAAGTATGTCTTATTTAAGTTTTAAATATTCTTCAAATCATGAAAAGTTAAATGTGTTTTGTTTTGTAGTTTAATGATATTAATGTTTCTTTGTATTTTCCTTGAAATTATATTATATTCGTTACAAGTTTTCTTAATCTATACCTTGAGAATTATTGATTCATTTTTAAAGTACATATCATCCTTAGCACGATTTTTGTAATTATTGTGTAATGGCAATACATTAGCAAAAGGAATGATCTTTTTTGATAACAGGTACTTGCACAAAGTATGTATACGAAAATGTACGACTTGTACCAAAGCGAAGCTCCGAATGTTAAAAGTTTTGTCAATGTGCGCATGTAAAATAAATCTGAAAAGGTCCTAACAAGTTGCCAATAATACAAATTGAGTTGATACAATTCTTTAACTAATAGCACAATATATTTATTTTCAGAGACATGTACTCAGTTTATTTATGACAATGTCCGCTTAGTTGCGCAGAGTAGCTCCGGCTGTAAGAAATTCTGTCAATGTGCGCATGCGTCGACACAGTTAGACGGATCTGTGACGTATCATTGGGTGGAGCATACATGCCCTGTCGGAACTTTATTTGACAGCAAACTGCTGGTCTGCAACCATGCATATAACGTGCAATGTACAGGTAATTAAGAAAGACCGGTAGGGCCATTTCAACTTCATGAATTCCCGATTTCATCTTCATGAATTCACAATTTAAACTTCGTGCATTCCCGTTTTCAAAATACGGAATTCACGTATTCACGATTCAGCTTTATGAATTCACGACTTCAACTTCACGAATTTCATGAAGCTGAAATCAGGAATTCATGGAGTTGAAATGTCCCCACCGGTCTTTCGTAGGTAATTACATATTATTACTTCAGTGTTACATCAAAAGAATGTACAACGAAATTCTAAAGACTTCCAGTGGTGCTTTTAAGAGAAACATTATCAAATTTAAAGGTAGCTCATTTCATCTAGGTACCTTGTCCGATACAAAGAAAACGTAACTCAAATTTGATATCAGAACATCTTAATAATTGCTACAGTGTCTTTGTAAATATAAAATAAACATATTTGCCTTCACACAAAGTAGACATGTTATGTTGAAAACTCTACACACTATATAAGTGGTCACAATATAAATACATAGTGTCATTAAAAAAGGGCAGGTTTTCTAAGAAAGGACGTACTTTACTCCACCTGTAAATGGGAACACAGCTTCCTTCACAAAATTTATCGATTCATTTTTTTTTACAAATTAGACATATTCAGTGTTCAATGTTTTGTGAATTTTGTCTTTTATTACATGCCTGTGCTTTATACTCGTCATTTGATTATATTCATGAATTGTGTGAACGCATTTTATCCTGACTGGTGTCAGGATAAATGCGTCTGGTGCCTGTCAAATAAAACAATGACTTCTAGTGTAATAGAATTTGAAAATTCTTCTTTACATTCGTACTTAATAACAATTTTACTATAA